TCAGAAGTGGTTGGCCATCTACATGGTATATATCCTCCTCTAACATAGGGATGCAAACCCCGTTCCCCAACAGTCCCCGACAAACTTCAGTCCAAGCCTATGAAGTGATGAGGACCCGTGGCGGCTTCGTTGCCTGCTGAAGCTCCTCAGGCAGGACGTACGAACGAAAATTCTCTACGTAGTGGCGACACCCCAATACACACACCTCCCCGAGTGGAACCGAAGCGATTTCTTTGGGCGTGGCCGGGGCCAGGTTACCCCAGGTGGTGTACTGTGCACACAGGACCTCTTCTCCCGTGTAGTCAACTGTCTTCAACCTGAAGAAATCGTGCCAAGTGGTTTCCTCGAAGCGTTCTTTGCATGGGGACACGACTTGTGACTGCGAAAGGAGAAACTCCAAGACTCTTCTCTGTTGAGTGGTCGGGGAAAACGGGTTCTCAAGCTCGAGGCCATACATGGAGTTCAATCCTACACAAAGGGCCCTAACAAGATCCACGTTCTCAGGCATGTCTTTCCATAGCTCATGGAGGACCTTCACATCGGTGGGCAACGGAAAAATGTCACCCGAGGGCTGGGTCATGCACTGCAGCGGGAGCCCCAAGTCCGACACTGACTCATGCAACGTGAAGGTCATCCATGGAGCAAGTCTCGAAAAACTGTCACCCATGCACGGCGGCGTCATGCAAACTTTTTCACGCTCGGACCCGGGATCAAATGCCAGGTCGGCGGCAAGGTATGCCGGGACTTCTGGACTCAAAGGTCGTCCTTCGGCAACTGTATCCAGCGCATCATCACCAGCCGGGTGCTCCGACACGCTGAGGGGGGAAAAGTGCGGCTGTCCGCTAACCAAGCTGCCGTCTTCCTCCCGCCAAGACGAAGTCCCGAATCGCCTTTTCCTTTCGGCCGGGCGGCCTCGCTCCTGGTCTGGTCTTCTGTTCTTCGCGATTTTCTCGTATCGCCTCCCTCATCTCTGGACGGGAGCTCAAGACCGGTTTCTCGGGCGGCGCCAGTTCCACCTTCTGAGAGATGGCCCACGAAGCTCCGGCCCCACTCATCTCTAAGCTCTTGAATCTCTGGGTCAGCGTGTCGCACGCCTCTGACACCCTCCCCTGAAGTAGGAGGTCCAAAGTCCACGCCACTGTCAGCGCTTCCCGGGCCTGTCCTCCTTGCAGCCTCTGTTGCATGCACTGGCGATAGTATTGGCAGGCTATCGGTGGGATCACCCCTTCCTCGGGGTTCCATACTCCCCCCGTTCCTGTCAACAGGGAGTTCTGGATGTCGCGGAAGGCAGCACAGGTCAATGCCCCTGGCGCTGCTCGCCCCATTCGGCGAATCTTCTGCTCTTCTCCGAATAGCTCCACGCTCTTCTCGCTGCTGTCCTCGCTCTTGCTGTCTGAACTGGTGCCTGAGGAGGTATTCCCCCTCTTCTTCACCCTCTTGGCTGGCGGCGAACTTTCGGCGGAAGCGGGGGTCCGACCCCTGTGCCTCCGAACACCGCCTTCAACCCCTTCTTGACCTCCCCTCTCAAGGAGATCTTCTTCTTTCCTCTGCTCTCCTTGGAGGCACTCCCGCTGCTCTTGCGCCTCTTCGGCTTTCGGCTGCGGTCCTTCTCTTTGCTTCTTCCTCGATCCTGTTCTTTCTTCTTCTCTTTCTCCTCTTTCCTCCCCTTTTCTACAGGAGGTTTCACGGATGGCTCCCGCCTCCTTTCTCCGGCCTCGGCTACCAGGTTCATCATCCACGGCAGGTCTTCGCGCACTTCGCCCCGCACATGTGAATCCTCATCACCTTGTCTTCGGACCCTGAGGCCCACTTCAAGATGGGTTCCAGATTGGTCCCCTGGACGACCACTTCGACCTCCACGTCTTCCTTGCTCCTCACGTGGACGCCCTGCACCAACCTCCACTCTGCCCCCAGTAAGTGCCACTCGCCTCCACGGGTAGCTGCCTCCGTAGTACTTCGAGGCACTTGATGGCATGGTACCAGTGCGCCTTCCTCAAAGGTCTTCCCAACCTCCTCTTTTCTTCCTTCTCCAGCCACCGGGGCCGGCTCTCCTCTCTCGCCCTCTCTCGGGTCTGCCCTCGCAGGCCGTCGCCTGACTTCTCCTCCCCTTCTTCTAGGAGGCTCTTCTCTCTCCACTTCAGCCGCACGAGCTCGTGCAGCAGGTCTCCTCAAGGCCATTGAAGATCTTCGAACCCACTACCACTACCTGCGGTAGTAGTATTGGTTTTCTTTCTTCTTTTGACCCTTGTTCACTCCCCAGTATTGGGGCGCACGTTGCCACGCCTTGATCGGTCCACTCCAGTTTTGGCCTGTTGGACGGGCTACTGGATCAGGTGGTCCTCCACGTCTCACTGGTGGCTCCTTAGGAGGTGGTCCTCCCCTTGCTCTTGGTGGTGATCTCGATGGAGTCTTAGGCGGCTTTACCGACGGCTTTGCCTTGCGCTCCTTGCCTCCACCTTCTTCTTTCTTTTCTCCTCGATGATCTCGCCTGGACCTGCTTCTCCTTTCCTTGTGTCTTGATCTTCGACTCCTCGATCGGTCTCTCCTTGACCTCCTGCTCTTTGACCTTTCTCTGCGCCTGTCACTCCTGCTCCTCTTCCTTGAAGCTTTGCGTTCCTCTTTTGCGGGCTTTGATGCACTTGATGTCTTTCCTTCCTCTTCAACTGGGCTGAGCTCTACCACACCGGGTGCTCCTTTTGGGCTTTTGTTGCTGTCCTTCTCCTTCTTCGGATCGATCCAGCTTTTATCTGGGCGTTCCCTTTCTCCTCCGGCCTCACTCCCCTCCTTAGGAGTATGCACTGCCAGGCTTGCGCTCTTCGGGGCAGCGGTGCTTTCGGCTTCCTCTCGCTGGCGTACAGCTTCCTGGAACTTCTCGGCTTCTTCCTGCAAGATGCCAGTCCAGATACGGACAGTCGAGACTGCCCAGCCACGCAGCTGAACGGGAAGGTCGTCCAGCACCGCCCACCACCTATTGCGCACCCGGCAAAACACGCAGGTGACCTCCTCGCCGGACGATAGGCCGCAGTCTCGGCAGAGGCCCATCTGCTGTGAGCCCAAACCCTACGAAAGAAGTCATTACACCTAGTTCGTCTTAACCTACGTGGCCGTGACATCATATACATGTATAAAATACCATACATCTAAGTCTGGGTCCCATTTCAGAAGCATTTAGCTGGGTGTGAGCAGTGATCAGAACTATCTGCAGCACTGTATTGCCGAGAATTCCCTTCATACAGTTTTTTCTATCCTTTGCTGGCTACGGCGTCTATGGTGGTGTGCCAGGCTTGCCTTACGTTTCACTTACTGCCAAGGTAGCTCCAATGTGGCCAGCCGTCATTACCAAAAAACACTGTGGGCAGGCTTGCGGTGACTAGTGTTTTGCTGCACATTCTTACGGCATGGCCAACTTCTGGAACAACCTCACGAACATCCGGTTTAAATGTCATCTTGACAGACCCTCTATTAGAATGAGGGGAGTTAAGAACCTTCCTGGAAGTAACTGTCCGCGTTTGCTTGTCTCCTGGGTCCTGTGCTGCCAGTACATCACTTGACAGGAAACTACTGTACACAATACGTGGCGGTGGGGCTGTCTGTAAAGTCACTCATGTCCGCGTAAAGTTGGACAGACAGGACGACAAACTTCTGTTTGTCTTCTCCATGGGACACGGCTTAGCAAAATATCATTCAAAATATCTAATATGTAAAACACCGGGCACCGCTCTAACATGTACCCTTCGCAGTCGCATTGCATAGGGAACGCAGTGAAGCACCACTTCGGAAGACAGGAGCCAACCGATTTCTCATGTAAGGATTTTGTGTTTTTTACGGGGTGCTCAAACGGTGTTCTGCGCGAGCCCTGCGCGAGTCCTGCGGGAGCCCTGCGCGAGCTAGACTTACATGACTCCATGTTGTTCTCATATTCCAATATACAGTCATGCTGGCCAGAAGCAAGTCCTCTGGAAGTATGTCGCAATACCTAATGCAGTTGATGCCCTGATGTCGCTGGACCATGCCCGGACACCATTCACGCATGACTTGACTTCACACAAGCACGGACGACTTGTATAACCCTGGCGCGGTGCCCAGCCAGAAGCATGCTGTAGATTCTATATAATCAAAAAATTATATAGAAAATATATAATCATATATATATATATACATAATATGTATATACCTGAGAAGGGGGACGAAAGCCAGGCACCGTAAAAGATATCAATATGGTTATCCGAGAGCCCTGGTGACCTCCCCACCTCTTTTCCTATCACCTCCTCCCCCGCTATGCCCATTTTGCACATGAACTCCCACTCCAGATGGGGTGCCCTTTTGCGTCTGGTCAACAGGCCTCTTCACCATAAAAAAGGGCACCCCCAAGCAATTCAAAGCTTGCCCGCTGCATTTTGTTCTCTTTCCTTCCCTCGACGGACCACAGCATTCACGAACTCGCACCCCATATGGGGTGCCCTTTTGCGTATAGTTGACAGGCTCTTTTCCTACCACGTCCTCCTACGTTATGCCTGTCTTCCACCTTCCCCGCAGCATGCTGGTTCCTCACAGATCACACAACATGTCTTAAGTCTTAAGAGACGCTCACCTCCCGGCGCACATCTCCCTGTTCTGGAGAAGTTCCAACCACTTTTTGCGTCCCATTGTCCCCTCTTTCCTATCATTGACATCAACTCCCACCCTGGTAGAAAACGGTTTACATTGCCTCCTGAGCCCCTCGTGATGCTAATGATGCACTACTGGCTGTCAATTACACCACCGGCATCACAACACCCAAAAAACTGCTCATGTTCACTACCAAGTGGCCAACTCTTTTTTTCGCTCTCCCCCACCAGGCTCTGAGTTCACCTCTCCACCTCGCGACCACCCCCCCACACCCCCTTCAACTCACTTCGTTCGCTCCCCTACCTCAAGCCTAGCCTATCGGCTGGCTTTCGTGATTAACCTGTGAATTGGCTCACGCTGCTGGTGGCCGAATCATTTTGTTCGCCCCGTGCCTTGCCATAGAGCTTGAAAACTCCACAGCACAATGGCAATGAAACCAGGATCACCATGAGAAGGGCGATCACAATTCCGCCAATCGAGCCGCCCAACAAAGATAGAACATAAGCATCCTCAGGCTCAATCTAAAACTTGTCCACCAAACATTGCCATTATTGTCCTAATCCATACGCGACATGAAATGCATTTAGCATGGCATCATCCAGCATAAATTTGGAAGCACTTCATGTACATAGAACTGATTAAGCATGATAATATTAATCTCTTTGGCATGAATCGTATGCCTCACCTGTACAATGCATGAATACAGTGTCTTGAGTGATCTGGGACTCAGCTTAGCTTAGTCACATTGTCAAACTCAGCTGTGCTCTGGCAAGCCAGTGCTGGGCAAACCATGGCCAACAAAGTTATGCAGAAGAGACGAATGGCCATCTTGACCTCGGGGCAAGTTGGCGAGCAACTTTGGATGCTCGCTGTGGCCAGGCCTGCTTTGCACATGCTTTTCTCATTTCTCTGTGTCTCCCTTGACAAAAAATGCACTAAGGTCTGAAGTCTGGACATCAACGCACCACAGCATCGGGCACCTTTTCAGGTACCAAATAAATCCAACATGTTTGCTATTAGTGCTTCCGGCCTCCAACCTACTAGTGATGGCCTCCAACCTAATCTGTAACTCTCAACCAGGCCACGAAGCACACTGCTAAACAGCTGCTTGCCGGAGGCTTGGGCCGTAATGGGAATTGCGCTGAACGCCAGAAACGTGAACATGTCACATGTCAACCCGTCAAAACACAGCACAAAATGGATCGATCTGTCTCTGGTATTGTTGGGTGCTCGGTTTCAGTTTGTTGCAGCCCCTTTGCGATTTGGAGTGGTGGTGGCGTCTTTCAGCAAACAATGTCTGACGGTCGCCTTGTGGAAAACGCTTGAAAAACACCGCTTGTTCTTCGTTCCTTTTTCTCAGTAGAAAGAACACGTCTTTCACAAAAAATCCTGATGCATCCTGATGCATGAAATACCTGAGACACACGCGCTGAGCCAGGTGGCCATGCCTCAAAAGCTTCAGCAAGTTACCATCGTGTCACGTCATGTCGGGGGGCAGCGAAGATCTTGTTGAAAAGCTGAAACCAAACCTCCAAAACCTACTTTCACGGTGCAACACGTTCATGCCGACTAAACATGGATGCGGTCCAGATTTGAGTGCTGTGTCATGATTGTATCCATTTACCCTGGCATAATTAATTAGGCATACAGCCGCCCAAATTCAGGATAATCTGCTTGTCAAGTGCCAGCCGCAGCATTGCGAGGGGCAAATGGCGAGACTCGGACAAGGCCCCTGGACAGTGTTTTCTCAAAACACAGCACCGCAGCCAAGCTGCTCGGAGCACACCCACAATCCAAATTACCCGGACACTGTTTTTGTCAATGGCCACGGCCAGACGAAACAAGCGTGATCCAAGTGCAGGGCATTGGCGCAACCCGAGGATCAATCTGTTCTGTCTCCACCGCTAGAAGCACAACCCATTCCAATGTGCAGAGCAGGCATTGCCTTTCTCAACCTCACAGTCACTACCGTGACATGTTGAGTCAGCTGCATCTGCAGAATCCTTGCGATCCATTACACACTGGGTGTTGGGCGCTTCAACGACCAATCCTGGGTCACAAGAGCAGTTCCCCCGAACCAAGGAGTTTGGTTCGCAACGACTTGTCTTTGCGAATTTCGAGCCTTTGCGATCAAACGCGGCCTCATCCCAAGTCAACCGACCCACATCCACCTCCCCCCCTCCCATGGTCTTTTCTTTCTTCGAGGTGGGCGATTCACGCAGTGGTGAGATTGGCTCCCAGCATGAGAAAGCCATGCGGCAGCGGGCATGCGGATGAACACTGAATCCTAACTAAGGTCAATGCATGTCAATGCCATTTGGTCCTGGCCCCTCAATTTCAAGACCCTTACACGCCACAGCTAGCGGATAATGTTGACTTTTGAAACACAGCAGAATGGCGAGACTTTCTGGACCGAGACCCCCTGCAGGATGGCTTTGCGCCATGGTGTGGGACGCTGAGGGCTGGTTGTGGGAACGGACAGTTCCAGACGGAGCCATCGCCATGGTGGGTTGAGTGAGAGCCTTCATCGCACGATGGCAACGGTAGAGATCGCACCTGGAAGACTGGATGTCGTTCAATGCTATGCAGGGTGCCCCGTGGCCCCGTGAGTTTTTTAGGATGGGCCATTTTTGGACAAGCTTGGGCGAATGTGTGAAGTGGGTGTTCGTCGCTGGTTCGCATGGGAGCTGTCCTATACTATAGTTGGTTGCTCAGACCTTGCAATGGTTGGTGAGGGGGCTCCTCAGGTGTTTGGGACGGGCCAACCATGTTCCAGAAGCGACCAGTGCAGAATTGTTTGGACCTGAAACTGGAAGGTCCCTGAAACAGCAGATCAAGCTGAAGAAGTCCGGTGACCAGGATCACTGGGTGCTCATCAGGCGCGAAGACGAGACAGGAATCTTCAAGGTGGCTGAGGCCAAACAAAAAAGGCAGGAGGCAGAAGGAGGGCTGAGGTCGTCTTGGCTGAGAAGGTGGTGCAAGACATTGCAGAGGAGCCAGGAAGCCTGGACGTTCAGATGAAGGTCCAGGAATGGCTAGACGAGCAGAAGGAAACAAGGCAAAGAGCACAGCTGCAGCATATAAGTCAGCGTGGGAGAAGTAGCAAGGATGGGGAACTCCTTTCTTGTTATCAAGCGGGGAGGCCATCTCTGGAGATGCTGGGGTACAGTACCTGGGCTATATTGGTTGGCTCGGAGCCTCGGCTGCCTCCCTCAAGCAAGACCTTTGCAGCGAAAGGACGGTCACAAAAGACTGACAAGGCATGACAAAGCCATCTTGGGGACTTTGTGTGTCTAACACAAGGAAGTTGAGGCATGAGGTATGCACTCACTTAAGTTTTGGTATATATTAAGTTATATATACATATTTTATTGTGTAGACACTAAGTACTACGAAGTCACGAATGCTTCCTAACCCATACAGTATTTGGCTCAAAGCTGACGGGTTGTTCTCGGTTGGGAAGACACACGGTAGCCTCAACCGAAGAAGAAAACGAAGAAGAATCCATCGCAACCACCACAACCCTGACCAGTTTATCTGCGCGTAAGATCTTGTAAGGGTGCAGGGCTTGTTGGGATATCAATGTTCCCTTTGACCCCAGCTATACTGTATAGCAGCCATATAATTACTGTAGTTACTGTGAAATTTCAGGAGCCTGGAACTTGGGAAGAACTTTTTAAGAGGCTGTGCCTTACCCCGCTTTAGCTCAAAAGGCCCAGGCGTCTGCTGTTGAGGGATCACTAGGATGTTTATCACCCTGCCCAATTCCTTGTCACCTTGAACCCGACGCATCAAGTAAATAGGGCAGGGCAGGTCAGGTCAGGTGTGGTCGAAACATGTCGAAATTCATCGCCGATGTTTTGTCTGCACAACTAAAACTTGACGGTTGATGAGGACACGTGGATTGATCTCAGTCAGTGCGAACGGGCACGCTCTCGTTCCTCTGTGTCAATTATCCCGAGGTGTTCACTGCTCCGTCTGGCTTCGAAAGCATCGAAGAGTTCCACCTGACTCTCGCAGTGCTGAAAGAGCTGACTAGCTGAGGGCTGACGGCTAATAATGGACGCCTACTTTACTGCATATGCATTGAAGTGATTGCATCATTTACCGTCTGAGCCCGGAAATTCTGGAAATCTGCTTCTGAGCTGGACCTGCTGGTGTTCGGGGTCTTGCTTTTCATTCAAGCCGGAAACGGCCAACCTCTCCAACTCCCAAGCGCCCAGTGTCACCTGGTCAAGTGGTTCATCCAAACGTCGAAGATGAAACATGACACACTTCATTTGATGCATTAAACCCTATCGGTTCCATGCCCACATACAACGACTGTGGCAAACTGTTGCGGAACTTTCGCAGCAAACTTTGTCTTTTCCCATGTTACATCCCGGTTCCGCGCTAAACTTTTCCGCAGAGGCCTGATGTGAGTGTGTCCTGCAACAGACAGCGGAGAACACCATCCATTAGAACACAAGCCCTCAAACTTGACGTGTCACAGAAGAAGTGATATTAAATAAGGTTGAACATATTCTAGCTCAACCTGACTTAGTGCCGATCTGCCAAGCTTAAATATCACCCCTTTCTCTCACCAACATACGCAATCATGCAAAAAATGACTTCCGCGAAGGAACACACACACACACACCAAGGCACTGCCTCCAACCAGCGGTGGTTGATGTTGAGAAAAGCCTAGCAGGGCAAAGAACATAGTAACATAGCATAACACAGCGGGAAAAATGATGGACCAGGTGGCCCGCTGTGTCACCAAAGCTCCTACCTCACCTACGTAAGTCCTGCTTTAATGCTCTCAATATCTCTCAATTGATTCAACCTGTGTTTGCGGCCCTGCCCTGCCTGCGCTGAAAGGAAGCCTGCGACAACTACAGAGTCCACCTCCAATGAAGGGACCTTGCAAAAAGCACGAACATTCAGTTTGATCATGATCCATGTTGCTGGCTGGAGCTGCAAAGTGTCTCCGTGAACCTCTTGAAAGGCCAAAGCTTTTCTCCATTTCTAGGGTCGGCCAGCCATTTTGCGAACATTGACGCCTTCTGGCCCGCGATCTAGGAAGGTGAAGAACTCCTAGGCTGAAACCTGAAGCTAAGTACAACTATGTGTAGGCATGTGTCGGCCAAACCCAAGTACACTTGTGACCGCAAGCTATGTGTTACCGTACCTTGTGATCAGAATGAGGGACCCAGCTTGTCCAGCCAAGGTCTACACAAAGACATGAAGAAATGCTTTCACAAAATTCACCAATAACCATTTGTTACACAATGACTAATCACGTTGGTGTCTTTCGTCTGGTGGAAACCTCCTAATAAATGTAGACTGCCATAAGCCCTTTGTCATCCCAGCATCCAGCAGCTCTAAAAACTATATTCGAGCGCACAATCACGTTAAGGTCATCAGCCGCTAAACACGAGGCAAGGGAACATGCCATTATTATATGTTCTTGCAAGGCTTCATTCTTAGCTGTTGACGTTCTTGAAAATGAGCGCAATGTGCGCATGTACGCGGCACGCTGCTGGCAAGAGCTTCTCTGGCCTGCAAGGATGCGAAGGACACCGGTGATAATCCAAAGCAATTGTCAAGCTTCATGCTCTTTCTCCAACACTACTAGGAGCAAAGGGCATCGCTACTAGGAGCAAGGACGCTACTAGGTGCTCCTGGCCTTACTACTAGGAACAAAGGACGCCCGTAGGAGCAATTGGTCTCACCTCTTGGAGGCATATCTCAGCCAATCATTCAACATTCTGAGGACCTCGGTGCACGACGATCAAAGCAACATTCAGTGGATGTGTGCGTGAGCCCATGGAATCAGGTCATGTTCACTTATATAGACTTATCTCGTTCGATGTCGTTCGGCAAGCCTGGTAAGCATTACAGCCTTCTCCAAGTCTTCTCCCAAAGCTTCTTGGGTTGCCCGGATGGGTGCGGATGGATTGCTAAAATGGTGCTGCTTGGCTTCAAACATCTCCCTGCAGTTGTCTCCTGATCTCTCGATGGGCGGCCTCAAACATGCTGAGCGAGCACTGTCATGAAAGAATATGACATATGAGGCGGAAAGAAAAAACATATGCACCGCCTAGTCACTAGGTGCACCAAACCTCCCACAAAGCACCTACAGTTCCCACAAGAACTTTCGGAGCTAGAAAAAAGACGTTATCAGCCAACCAACTTGCTACAAAAGGCTAAGTGTGGGCTGATTGCAAGCTGCCGTATCGATACAAAGCTGAACATCTCATACTAACCTGACGTGCTCTGCTAGCATGGCGAGGCAAGCCGGTTTTGAAGTATCTGAGTGGTGGTCATTGCTTGGATTCATTGTTTATGGTAACTGGGCCATCAGTTCACAAGGATCTTTAAGGTAGCCATTTGTTTGGCATTCTCTCGAACAAGTTCAACTTTGAACTTCTCCCGACTCTGGACTCTGAAAATGGCTTTCTTCTGAACAGTATTCGGCGCGATTGCTCGACAGTGACTATGAGTTTATGATAGTTTATGAATAGACTGGCCGTACAAACAAACGGCAAGCGATCCCCTTGCCTCCAACTCGTTCAGGAGAGAGTCATCCTGGAGAGTGCTCAAGCTCTTCGTGGCATCAAAATGTGAATCTATGTCACTGCAGATCACTGAGAAATCTGAGAATCGTCCCGGGTAACATTGGGAGGCGCGTTCTGTGGGTAGAGTTTCTGTTGCACAGGAACCTTAAAAAAAAAACAGCTGAGAATTTGTCAGAACGTCGATTGCTTCTGCAGCGAATGAGGCCCCGGAGAACTTGCCAAGCGGCAAAGGCACATGAATGCACATTCTACAATTCTACTGTATAGTATAGTTGTCCACATAACACCCCATGCTGTCGCCTCCGGCCGTGCCAAGCTTCTCCTAAGCAGGAATGAGTTGATACAGCCAGAAGCGAACAACTGGAAGGGCAGAAACTTACATGGCCCGACTCCACAAACAGAATGTCTCCAGTACACACCTTCACGGGTTTCTGGCAGGTCCGGTTCAAAGACCTCAACCATCCACGGATTTGGAGTCTGCACCAGGCAGGTCAGCGAGTTAAGAATTGCAGCCTTTGGCTACCCAAGCACGATGGCCGTCATGTTGGGCCATCATTCCCTTCTCTTGGACTTCAAGTGCTTACTCAGGCTTACTCATGTGGATCTGGCCACTCCAAGAAGCCACAGTTTCGAGTTCTAGGTCCTTTGTTGATGGAATCGATGATTCAATTCTGATTATCTACAGTTTTTTGTGCTGCACATCTGCACATGCCTGCTCGAAGTAGCTTCCTGCATGCAACCCAATTTGATCAACAGAACTATACAGAACTGTCTACATAAAAATGCTGACTTCAAGGGAAATGCCCAGCAGCAGGTGGGAATATCACTCTTGTGTGGACCAAGTATGAACAAGTTGCAGTATATATAGTCGTTGTGTTTCCCGTTTTCGCAAAAAAAACACATGCAACTAACACTACCTAGATGCGAGCGTCCACATGCGTCTGCTGACCCGGCCCGAGCCAAGGTGCACAAAGGCTTGATAGCTGGCACCTGCGCGTTCCAAATAAGCACCACGCCGGCCTCAAGAGACTCACGGCAACTAAAAAAAACAGTCGAACCCCTCACACATTCACACTCACACACACACTCTCTCTCTCTCTCTCTTCCCTCCCATGCCGGCAGGTTGAGCTAGCCATGCTTCCCCCAAAGCCATCCCCAAGAATCCGAATTTGATGGTTGTGTGGCAAACACCTTTTGTGGCTCCAGACTGGGGGACAAGAACCCAGCGTTGAAAAGGGACTTCAGTAGTAAACGCAGGGCCTGACTGGGTTCCAGTCAAAGAAGTGCCCGGGGAACAACTTCTGGTTGAAAAACGGTGTCTCGAGTTACGCATGCGAGAGCTTAAATCTACAAAGACTGCTCTGGGGATTCCAGGTGCAATTTCATGATTTCGATCAGAAAACAAATTACGGAGCTTTGCGTGCGGTAAATATATATATACATTACATGTGTACATCACTACTATTCAGAGTACTTCTCAGACTGCGCTCTGTGTACTCTCTCCCCCTTTTTCGCTAGCACTCTCTGCAGTTGTGGTCTCTGCACGTCGCCCTGACGTTGTTGCGTTGGAAACTCACAAAGTGTGAGCAGTGTTCATAGCCACACATCCATTCCTGGATGAAGCTTAGATACCCATCTATGGAGACCCGTCCACCAAGACGTATCCATAGCGATGCATCTACCCAATGCATTTCTCCCAACGCACTTTAAAGAAAGAGACCGACTCGCAGAGTGACGGAAAAAGGAAAAATACCAGAGTGGTTCGAAAAATGTGGCCACTCGACTAGTGAAACCCTGGTCGTGGTGCCATCTATCCGCGTGTCCATCACGGGAAATCGCGTCACTCCAATTACTCTTGGAGGGGATCCACTCAAAGTAAATCCAGCATCGAAGTGAGAACAAAAGGATATGGATCATGTGACTCATATGTTCGAGGTCAGGACTGTCTGATCTGCCTTTGATGAGCGCCATCAAAGCGGCAGTGTTGTCAATGTACCATGTGCCGCGGCGATTACGGAATCGCTCAGGTGTGGTAGTCAACGCAATGAGAACCTGCAATAACTCTAGCTGTGCTATTTTGGCATCCCCTGGCGTCCAAAGGTCATAGATGGATGAGGGGAGGTGAGACACAAACCCAAGCCGGGGCTTCACGTCCTCGTGGAAGAAGACAAGGAGAAAACCACCCGTGCCTTCACCTGGGGTCTCCAAGGCAGCGTCGGACGCTGCAACAAAGCGTTCATGGTGTCGTGGCCAGACATCAAGTTCACGCTCTGGATGGATGGAGATCACGGCCTCAAGAATTTGGAAGCATTGTTCGATTGCGGGAGTCAGCTGATCACCGCGGACAAGTTGGCGCTCCTTAATGGCGTGGAGACCCCCACATCCAATCCGTCCGTAGACACCCTGTTCGAAGAAGTTGGCCAGTCCGTACAGCTTGGCAGCAACCCCAGGCTTGAGAGTGTGCGTCTCACGGCATTCATGGATAATGGCCTTCAACTTGGATTCCAGGCGTTCCCTCGCCCAAAAAGAGACGTAGCCTCCTGAAAGGGCGGCTGAAAGATCATGGTCCAGGCCAAAAAATAAGCCTTTGGGGTTCATAGCCTGGCGCTTCTCTTCCGCAAAGGCGGTGCCCAGGAGCTGGTTCAAGACACCAAAAGCCCATTGAGCCGATCCCCGGCTCGAAGACCAGTCTTGGATTGAAGCATCGTCGAAGTAGAGCGAGACTAGGACATAGCACAAACGACGCCCGAGGGCTTCCACAAGGCGACTGTATCGGTTAAACGAAGTCACGGCAAGAGGAAGACCAAAAAGAAGACCAGCATAGACTTGGAAGGCTGGAGCAGCCCATTCATGATGCCAGAAGGTAACTACGCATCCCCGCGTTTCGTTGACCCCCATGGGACTGTGCCGATAGGCATCCGGCCAATCTTCCCCACCTGATTCCCAGGTGTCAGTAGCCGCCGCTTGGGCTAGCTCTAGTGGGCTCATGTGACGTAGAACTTGGCTGATGTGTTGGGCCGGCCTGAGGGGCGAGCAGAGCACCAGCTTATTGGCGTCGGATGACCGCAGGGTCTGTCCTCCGGCATCGGCATTGTCGATAATACGCTGTTTACCCGAGGATTGGGTAATCACACAGCGTGGGATTAGACGATACGGCTGCCCGTGCAGCTGCTGACGCAACTGTGCCAGCGTCAATGGGGGGGTACAGAACCCCGGTGCTGCATCCTTCGTAGACTGTTCAAGCAGGAACTGATCATCTTTGCCCGGCTTGAGGGTGGACAAGATCTGGTAATTGAAGTAATGGCGCGAGCACCTGCCACTCCGGCGAGGCTGTCCTCCGCCCGCCAACCAGCGGAAGAGGCTGGCTCATCCGGCGGAGCCTCCACGGCTCCAGCAACTTATCGTCATCAGACGACGAAAGTTCGCGGCAAACCGGACAGATTTGGAGCACTGGGAAACAGGCGGGACACACTCCTTTGATACAACCAAGGCACTGCCGATAAGTGGGATCACCACAGCCGCAACACGCTGGAGGAAACTCCGACTCTCCGTTGATTGAGGATCCCAACCATCCACGAAGGGCTCGATGGGCACGAATCTTCGGGCGAAGGGCTTCCAGATGACGCGGCAAGGTCTCAATATCTGGCAACGGGGCGCGAAAGGGGTTGGACCACAACCCATGTGGTGATCCCAAAATCCAGTGGCGCGTGTAGTAGAGGACTTCAGATTGGAAAGTTTGCAGGGCAAGAGGTCAAAATCCCCGGGGACCTTCTGCTGAAACTCCCACAGGTAGGTGGGCACAAAATTGCCTGCAGAATACGGGGTACGATAGGGCTGCAACAAGAGAAGGTCCATCGAGGCGTCCAACCGAGCATGCCTATCCCAGGCCTGCTGAGGAGTGAACCCTGGTGGCACGATCGTCCCGCGCCGGTTCCAAATCCCGACCCACGGGAAGACAAAGCCCCCTCGCCCCTGATCGCACCGTGGGCATACACTCTTGGGACAGATGGAAATCCGCATAGGGGGAAAACCAGCTGGCCCGTCCCCCGGGCGTGAAGACGGAGGCATGTGTTCAAATAGAACCACCGAGCTCCAATGCCGCAGCGCGCCTGCCCGGTCCCCCCCGGGCCAAAAGGGCATCAACCTGGCGACGGAACTCGAGGAACGCGGCGGACGAAAGCACCTCAGCATCCGTGAACATGGCGACATGCACACCGACAATATGCTGTGAAGCCATCCACAGCAAACACAGCAAAATTGAAGCAGAACAGAAACTCCACTGTCCCACTTTTGGCTTGAGCCAAAATGGCTACGGTGTACCAAATGTAATGAATACTGCGCACCCAAACCTGCCCAAAGCTCGACACAATACGTTTGCACCATGAATCGGACAGGAACAACTTGTTAATGCATCGCGTGGACACACACACACATTTAAAGGAACCTCATCACTGTCTTTGTTGCAACAAGATCGGCAACAAGTTCGTACCTGTTCCATGAGGCAACATCGCCTTACATTGGCCCCAACCCCAAACCCACCGCCCGCCCCATAGCTAAACACAAAGCAGCGTAATCTTCTTAGCCTTTCCCTCAAGCACCATCTTGCGTTGCGATCACAACAAACATCTCATGTTACGGCGCAATCGCACATGTCTTCAAGTCTCGGAGAACCTGCCTGCTCCCGTGGGGGAAGTACGTTACAGCAAGTCAGAACAAAAAATAGATAACAAGAAAGTGTGTGTGTGTGTGTCTGCGCATCTTCCTCTCTTGCAGGCAAGCCCAAAATTAAAGCCTCCAGCCTCCCCTCCCATCCTGTTTTGAGACAATCAGTCAAACCTCCCATGCTAATCCAATCTGCCAATGTATGTTTCGCTGAGGCCACCAGCCATGCGACACCAGAAATGCCAGGTAGGATTCAATGCGGCTGGCTAAGCGAATGATGTAAAGGATCAAGCCTGAGACACCAAGCATTGCAGCAATCTCCATCCGTGGCATGCCCTGCGTGACACAGAGACAAATGCACCGGCCTAGTGACAGTGGTGGCCCAGACTCAAAATGTTGCATTGCTGGTGCATTCCTACATCCCCAAGTTGGTTGGGTCGCCTGATTGACCGGCACAGCCCGCTAGCAATCAGCGCCAGCTTCAAAAGTTTCTGGACATCCGGAGCTAGAGGCAAACTAAAGCATAATGTCTACTATTTGCCGGGTTCGGCTAAGTTCCTTGAATGGCCCAAGGCTTACAGAGACAAAAGTGGTGCGCCTTCGATTTGGTGGGACTGTGAGGGACCAGCTGGGAGAGGTCAAAATCCCATGCAAGCCTTCAAAGCTATGAGCCCCATGCAGGCAAACCTGGTCTGGGAAATATCTAGTGCATAGATTGTCCCCGAAAATATGTAGCTCGGGGCCCCCGGCCATCGTTTGCAGAGTTCGGTCTACCAACATCCTTCTCCACGGCAACTTGTAACCTCGCTGCGCTGATGCAATGGCAGGAGCACCATATATACACCGAGATTGCACTAGACGACGACGGATGGCCCGAGAGCGTTTAGGTGTAGAGTTGCTCTGGCGTAAGGCGTGCTGCACGATTGTGAAAATGTGAAGATTGTAAAACAAAAAAAAGGGGTTGGGAGAAAGGATGGGATGAACAACGAACAAAAAGTTCAGAGGTGCAGCTTTACAACAAAAATTGCGTGGATTCAGGCCACGCCGTCCCGCCCCGAAGAAGTTTTGTTCATGCTGTTGATGTCAAAGATTTAAATATATACGTAATTTGTACGGACTCACGTCCTGTCCCAAAGAAGTCTTACAGCCGGTATTCATGTCCAAATATATTTTTCTGTTATTAAAGTTACATGTAATGTGTGGATTCAAGTCCTGCCCCGAAGAGGTCTTACAGTCGATGTTTGCGCAGGTCTATGTCCCGCATGTTTCCCATTCGCTGGTGGCGTGGACTGATGCAAGTGTACCTTCCACCAAGGCTGTGTAACACAAAACCTCGTCGACGCAGCCAGCCTTCCCGCTTCCCGGCGACACCGAATTTGCACCTGCGTTTTTCCCTCCCCCAATCCGTTTACACCAAGCCAGGTTTTACACCAACCACCGTGTACACCAAACCACGGTCTAGTAAAAACGACCGATTGCACCAAACTACAGATTGCACCAAACCACGGTTTGCACCAACGACCGTTTACACCAAACCACGGTTTACACCAACCACTCACCATTTACACCAAACCAACTTACACCGACCACCGTGTACACCACAACGTGTTTTACACCAACCAATATTTACACCAACCACCGTTCTACACCAAACAAACCACCATTTACACCACACCACGGCTTGGACGAACCACCGTTTACTTACACCAAACCACGTTTTACACGGTTTTACACCAACCACCCATTACACCGAGCCACTGTTTACACCAACCACCGCTTACACTAAAAAAATTACCCCAACCACTGTATTTACACCGACCACCGTTTATACCTGTAACGCATAAAGCATGCACTCGTTTTTCTAGACGTGAGACCATGTCACTGGCCTACCACAGGCCCTTTTGTGTTCAAGCAGAAACATGCGCGACTCTGCCTGCGTTTGCAGGTTATGAGCCCAACGCTTTTCTAAGTCCACCCAGTGCCACAGAGCGTGTGGACTGGTAGTTGGCTGCCATGGCGAATCCGTTCTGGACGCAGGAAATGCAAGATCGATTCCTCTTGGAGCAGATGAGGCCAGAGGATCTTCCACTGATCCCGGAGGACTCGGGGGTGAGCGGTGCGGTTGAGTCGGAGGAGGTGATCCCAGATGCTCGCGACCTCCTGGACCTACTCAGCTTGGATGTGGAGCCGGAGAATTCGGAGGAAAAGTCGGCAGATGAGGGCGGAGGTGCAATCAGTGCTGGTGAGGATGGGGAGACAGGCCCACAAGAACTTTGGAGGGACTCGCAGGGGAAACTTCAAACAGCCATCCAAATCCAACCGGGCTGGCCTGAGACGAGAGATGACTCAGGAGCACAAGGCTCTGCTGGTCCTCCGATGCCACCAACAAGCTGGATGAGGAGATCTGTGGAGAAGGGAGAACGGTTAGCGGAGGTGAAGCTGAAGGAACGGCGTCCATGGGAAGGCCATCGAGTACCAGATCAACAGCCGGAAAAACACCAACGGCTTGATCAGGGAGATGGTCGGCAAGCCCGTTCGATGGAGTTGGAAAGTCGCCGGGTGACCGACCAACAGGAAGATCGTGAAGTACCAGGTCAACAGCTGGGAGAACACCAACGGCTCGATCAGGGTAAAGGTCGACAAGATCGCCTGGGCCGAAATGATGATTGGTTGAAGAGCTTCGGAGACAGAATGAGGAGCTTCGGAATGAGGTGAGAGCCTTGAACGAGAAAATCGCACAAGGTCAGAGCCACCGAGGTCAGACTCCTACACCAAGGACACCAACTACGGCAATGTTCACACCGATGGAACAACCTCTGCAGGTGAGAAGAACTCCAGGGGGTACACAGGTCCCTCCAGGGACGCCACCACAGACATCGGAAGAACTACGAAGTGAACTGCCAGAGGTCCCACCTTGGCCATGGTCGAAGTTTGAGCAGGGGTGCTCGGCGGAGGAATGGTCGAGTTGGGAACGTCGACAACGTGAACGACATGAACGAGGTCGTGAAGAACATGACAGGACTCATGGCGTGTCTGGTGCAACTGGCGGTCTACATCGTGAAGAGTGTGGGGGCGGGGGGCGCCGACAGGGAGGTCCTGACCGCGGGGTTCATCCCCGATGGCATGAACTATATGAAGATGAAGGACGTGATGGCTTTGGCTCTGCATTTCGAGCGATGGAAGCAGAGCAGGAAAGGCGAACTGGGCTTCATGGTGCATGGGTGCCAAATGATGGTCCTTGTCGATTTCAAGCGGCTCGCTTACAATGGTTGGAGCGAGAACTGCATGAGTTGAAGAGTAGGGTGAAGACCCATGAGACTAACAGTGGAGGGTATAGAGCCCCGGCATGGCAGCAGGCAGATGGACTGTGGATGCAGTCGGATGCACAGCAAGCGAGTCAGGACTACATGCCTCCACCTCCACCTGTTCGGAGGTGGAAAGGCCAACTTTGAATGGGGGGCAAGAAGCCCAGAGATCCTCGTGAAAGAGGAGATGAAGGATGACTTGAGGGCTATCAATGTAGCCCTGCCGAAACTTCCAGATGAGAGCACACCTCAGGCAGCCCTTCGATGTGGGGATTGGATCATAGAGATTGAGCCGTTGATTGGGGATGTGTCTGGTGGAGCAGCGCGCTGGTGGACGCAGCTCATGATCGAGGTCAATGCGGTCTACAAGGTGTGGCTGTCATCGGATGCGCTGACTCGGCTGGAAGTGGATGTGCAGGTGAAGCCCAATGCTACCAGACT